ATTCTGATAATATTGATAGCAATATTATTGGGAAATTTTTATCTGTGAGTTTAGATAAAAAAAAATTATTGGATTCTTGATTCAGGTGCTATATTCTATGTCTATCCACATAAATATTAGTTTGCTACCTACAAATAAATGAGTGGTACTATGTATATATATATAATGGTAGTTCATTACTAGTAGTTAGGATTGATAATATCATATGACGAATATTTTATGCAATTATCAGAACTATTAAATATTAGCATGTTCCTCATATGAAGAGAAATCTTATTTTTTTTCTTACATTGGAGTCTTAAGGTTATAAATATAATGTAAAAAATGATAGTTTCAAAGGGTGCAAAGGCTCTACAGTACTCATAAAAAGGAAGTTTAGAGTTTAAATTACCTATTCTTCATAGCACTACAGTTCCAATAGAAGTTGTTGTGACATCATAAAGCAGAGATTAGAATCAATTGTTGTATCCGTGTCTAGGTCATATGAGTGATAAAGGGTTATATATTTTAAGTAAACATAATTTGTTGAACATGTATAACAAGGAAGTCATGGATCTTTGTTTATATTATGTGTTTAGCAAACAAACTAGAGTGTAGCTCAATAAAAGGGCAGTGTTTAAGACTAGAGAAAAGTAAAATTATATCCATTATGACTTATGGGGTCCATACATAATTCTCTTCAATAATGATGTCAGATACTTCATAATGCTGATTGAGGATTACTTTCGAATGGTTTGAGTATAATTTTTGAAATATAAAGAAGAGTCATTTTCAACATTTTTCACATGAAAGATCATGATTGAGAAGCAGATAAAGAGGAAACATCTTAGAACTGACAGTGGGTTGGGATTTTGCAACCATGCGTTTAATCATTTCTACAATACATAAGACATAATGAAACATTGCATTTGATTTAGAACACCAGAATATGATGTTTTGTGATAGGACACGAAACATGTTGTCCCATTCAGGTTTGGGACAAGAATTTTGACTAAGACTGTGAACACTACTTATCACTTGGTTAATAGATCTTCATCCACAACTATTGAGTATAAAACTTCTTTTGAGATATGGTATAGTTCACCTATTTAAGAACTCTCAGCTAAAAGTGTTTAATTACCGTATTTATGCTCATGTGGTGGATGGTGAGCTTGAATCGATAATGAAGATATGTGTATTTGTAAGGTATGCATATAAAATAAAAGGTTATAGGTTGTGGTGCAGTTATCCAAAATTCTAAGGTTAATTATAAAGGTCTGGAACTTAAAGGAAAATAAATTCATAAATTAAATACGGAAGCGATTAATAGAGTTAGAGTTTACATTCTTTACACAATAATTTTGAATCTCTAATAGAATTACGAAAATGTCCCTTCTAAAATACAAACGAAAATTAAAGAAATAAAATGAAAAGCGAATAACTAAAAACTCTAGGACAACCTTAACTAGCACTTGAAGGGAGTATGGATAGTGAACTATCCACAATCTTCTTGTTGATCGAGATTTGAATTTTGGTCCTCTTAATCTGAAATAGTTAATGAAAGAGTGAGATATACTAACCCAGTAAGAATATCACACTAATCACATATACAGAAAACTGAAGATTAGTAAAAAAATCAGAAAAATAACTAATGGAGCCCTTGCTTTATTTAAATACATTTGAAACTTAAAGACATTTGTTTAATATTTATCATAACAACTTTTTAAAATATAACTTATGAAAACCCATATCTATATCACTTTTCACTTTCATGCATAAGAGAACGAGAAACAATAACTTTCCTTTTTTATTTATTTTCTGGTACCCTTGAGGGTTTATAGGGGTGTTGCCTCTACTCGTGAACCCAATATCTAATTTGATAATTGATCGGTCGTTCCTATACCTCGTTCGGTAATGGGTGTCAAATATTCTATCGCATTGATATCATGTCCGGTATGAGGGTGAACCATATCTCTAAAACCTTTCTGGTAAGGGATTTTTTAGTCTCGTCCGACTGAGGTAACGTTCACGATAGGGTTCCTTATGTACCAACTTTGTCCCCCTTTTCCCTAAGTAACCAACAAGTCTTTCACATACAAATTTTCATCAATAAAAAACCAACAAACTTATACCAATATCTCATGTCACATTTACAGATCAATTAAACTACATTCATGCTGACGGTATATAACCAAAATAATTAAATAAGTTGATAAGACTATTGAACTATAAATTAAGAACATGTACTATACGAAAATCAAGTAAGTAAGACAGTATAAAAAAAATAAATAGAAAATCAAGATAATTATGAACTAACCAGTTTTGCCTCCACTAGTAACCTGTAATTATTGTTAGGATTTTTTAATTTTTTACAAAAATACAAAATTATACATCGTTAAGCCTTAATTTATCGAAACGGAGAATAGGGTGAGGGATTCTTATCTGAATTGGTATTTCGAGACATCGAGCTGTCTATTACGCCTTCTAATGGGTATTAGATTCCTTGAATGTTTCATGTGAAATTCAAAAAATTTGTCACATACTTAAGAATACCCCAAAAAACCTAAAATAGGTGTCCAAAACTCATTTCGGCCAATTTTAGAGTTCCGGCACGATAGTGTCGTCGTGCTCTGGGTGGCGGTACACCTTGGCCTAGCTGATTTTGGCTAATTTTGGCCAGTTTTGGTTGCATCCTTGCAGAAA